TTTAAAAAAAAAAAAAAAGGTAAAAATTTTCTCGATGCAATAAATTAAGAAGGGGTTAATATCTATCAAAGATATTTTGATTCGAAAGATGGAAAAATAAATTAAGGGTTTTCATTACATAGTATCTACTTTTAACATAATTACATAACTACTTACAATATATATATGTGTATATATATGTGTATAATAAAATATATCTTACAAAAAAAAAAAAGAATAATAGATAAATTGTTTGTGTTTGTTCGTGTTTGTGAATATAGGATAAAATATACGAAATAATAAAAAAAAAATATATATATAAATAATAAGTACGAAAAAAAATTTTATAACTTATCGAATAAAGTTAAGCACGTTAAAAAAAAATCGATAAAGAATAACCGAAATTACGATATAACGAACGATATGACGCGTGACGCTGCTTGACGCTATGAGTCAAATAATATCATGAATCTTGGAAGTGTGGCCTATAAATTTAAATTTGAAATTAATCAATTAATAAATTAATCAATTAATCAATTATAGATATTAACGTAATAAGATGTAATACGACGTAAATACGTACCTTATTTTTGTTAACCACGAGAATGTAATTATGTTCTTGAGCGACAATATCAACAACAAACATAACTTTAGTATGATGATTACCATCAGTATAATCACGAGATATTAAAGCGCTATTAGCAAACCACATTTCTATTAAGAAAAAGAAAGAAAGAAATTAATTAACATTAATTAAAGGGAAGCAGAATTCTTTTCATACTTACTTTTGTTATGCTTTGAAAATTTCTTCCTATTACCATTTTGAATAATACCACACATTCCACAACCTTTTTTACAAAAAGATTTTTCAGATAAAGGATAATTTCTTTCTAAAAAACGATCAGGATCACAACCAGTAGAAGTAGTAGTTCCATGAAACATGCTATAAGTTACATCATCAACATTTTTTCCAGCAAGTTTTGCAACTTTATTTTTATACTTTTCATGAAGTTTTATTAATTTAGATGGCATATCCAATCTAATTATTCCCTTAATAACACCACGAGGTATTTCAGAATAAAACATTTTTTTAACAGTAATATAATCATTATCACTTTTTTTCAACAAAATCATTTGAGTTCTCGTAAGAAGAGGAAAATTACTCTCAGATATAATAGATTTAGATTTATTATTAGGTACACTGTATTGTGAAGAACGACCTGAAGGACCTGGTAAACGAACATTACAAGAGTCACAAATCGTTCTTGTTGGATGATTCATAAAAGTACAATTAAAACATTCCACTTCAATAAAACTTATACGACGGATTTGAATTTCAGTAGATGATGAAGGAGAAGGATTTGAAGAATTCGAAGAAAGATGTATTGAAGATGATAAAATTGGTTGAAATATTAAAGAAGAAGTAGAAGAGATAGATTCAGGAAATATTTTTATTTTTTCATCAATATTTTCATCAATTTCTTCAAAAGATTTTTCTTCAATAATAGGAAAAGCATTATATAATTCTTCATGTATAGATTCTAATTTATTTTCATTTTCTTCTAAATCAACAGTTAAATCATTTGATTCATTCCAATTATTTTTAATTTCATTTAAATCTTCCAAATCTTCCAAATCATTAGTTGATTGATCATCATTTTTACATAATTGATCAAAATCATCAAATATAAAATCAAAATTAAAAGAATCTTCAATTAATTCAGGTAAAGTAATTTTAGGTTGATGATAATGATATTTATCATTATGATTATTATGATTATTATTATTATTATTATTATTAAAATTTGTCGTTATACTTATTCGTGATAAACGAGAACTTAATCTTGTCGTTATACCAAAAAGTGAATTTCTTCTAGAAGAATTTAATTTTTCATATTTTGATGATTTGAATTTTGAAGTTTTATGACCTTCGATAGTTGATAACATGGTTAAAGATTTCGTATTCTCACTATTTAAAGTACCACTAGCTTCAATATTTTCTGGTAACCATATTAAATTTCTACTATTTCTTTTTGAACTTAATCCATTATCATCCAATGTATTTTGAGTTATTTTTGGTATTTTATCATTCCATACTATTTGTTCATTAGTAGATTCATTATCATCATCAGTTGGTGTATTACTTTTTGTTGTAGTAACCAATTTTTTGGTCCATGATTTTAATTTAACTAGTATTTGTTTCCTGTCTCTTATACACATCTAGATGTGTATAAGAGACAGCATTTATATCTACGGGTATCCGGCTTAAATATTAACAATGGCCAAAAAATAGAATGTAAACTTTAACTTACCTAAACTATCATTAAGAAACCAATTATCGCGTGGTAAATGAGTAGTTGATAATAAAAAAAAAAAGAATTTTAACCTTTAAATTCGAATAAGGGGATAAGAATGTATTGCATTGCATCTGTCTCTTATACACATCTAGATGTGTATAAGAGACAGATATAATATTTTTAATAAGAATTATGTTATTATAAACATTATAAACAACACATGAATATACATATTTAAAATAATTTTTTTCTTTTTCTTTTTTTTTTTTGTCCTTTATACAAAATTTTTGTTATGTACGCCATACATATATATATATCTACGGGTATCCGGCTTAAATATTAACAATGGCCAAAAAATAGAATGTAAACTTTAACTTACCTAAACTATCATTAAGAAACCAATTATCGCGTGGTAAATGAGTAGTTGATAATAAAAAAAAAAAAGAATTTTAACCTTTAAATTCGAATAAGGGGATAAGAATGTATTGCATTGCATTTTTCTCCAAAAGTTTTCATTAAAAAGAACCGTTCGCAAAAATAAAACTTTAAAATAACATTGCATTACTTTCTGATATTGACAACAATCCGAACAATCTTTTTCTTTTTAAAAAAAATATTGAAGAAAAAGATCCGATTTTATTAAACTATTTAATGTTATTATACTCCATACTATTATACTTTACTACTTTACTAGGTAACTCTCTTTAACCATAAATGATCCAAACATGTCCCTTACATATTTGATTACTTTTTTACCCCTGGTAAGTTTCAGTTATTTAATATATATGGCGATTTAGTTACGTCAATAATTGTTCAGTAGTTGAAGGCTTGGAAGGTGACTTGTTTTGCCCAAAAACAATTAAACAATAATAAATCACGTGATCATTTACTGATATTCCCATTTGGACAATGCCGTTATACACTTATACCGATTGAGAAAAAATTTATGATTTTTTTTTTTTTTTACATTATAATTTATTAATTTATTAATGCATATTTCCCGAACGGGAATTACATCAATTTAGAACTTTTAAAATAATTGGTTGGTCTATTTGGTCTAATTTGTTTATTTTGTTTATTGGTCTATTGTATTTAGTTTCTAATTCTGTTGGTCAACTCGAAAAATTCACGTACGGATCTTTTTTTATGGTTCCCACGTGATTATACGAAACATTTTTTAATTTTAAACAACAAAATTGATGGATAATAAATCGATAAAATGATATGATGGATAATAATCAAATAATCGATAAGTGATAAATGATAATAATCGATAAATGATTGGAATAATAATCGATAATTTATATCGATAATTTATAATCGAATAATCGAATGATAATAAATAATCAATGAATGATAAAATTTATTATTATTATTTATCTGTAATTAGAATAATTCATATTATTATGAATAATTTTAATTTTTTTTTAATTAAAAAAAAAAAATAAAAAAAAAAACATT